GCGATTACATAACGTTACTTACGTCCGCCGCGAACCTATCGATCCGGCCTTGTGGCACAATGCCAATAACAACTTGCTCTACTCTCTTCTCTAGAAGCAAATTGATAAAACTTAGAACAACCACATACCGCGCAACGACTTTAATTTCGTTACATAAATGACAATTTAATTTCGTAAAGTGCATTTATGCAGTTACCGCGAACATTATGAACTACCCCTTATTTGGAATGGTGTCTAACGCATAGATATACGTAAATAATGATCAGGTTACTAAAATCATAGAAAGAACACACGAATAAATAATAACAAAAATCCTGAAAGTATAAAGGTATCCTTAATGGTCTTTGGGAAATCTAAGAACATGCAAATAGAAGTTATACCATAAGGTCCATTCGTGTCAATGGTTAAAGTTTTTTTTTTTTTTATTTTAGATACAAAAGCGAATATGCCTTAAATATGTAGGAAAAATTCGTTATTTCTCACATTTAAAAGCCTTTATTAATTTGGGTTTACCAGATTTAAAAAAAAAAAAAACTTACAGACGAATTGAGTACCTCCTTCTTTTGGGAAGTCGGTCAAAAAAGAGTTTGATTCATGTCTATTCTCACAGAACATAGATATTCAGTACAGCTGAAAATCGATTTAATGCAACAATGCGTTTGTAGCGTGCTGGATTGTTAGTTCAATCTGATGCATTGAAATGATATGGACGTTTTCAATTTCAGCAAAAATAAATGTATAATAAGTTCATTCTTTGTACTCTCGAGTTATCATATTTGATTAATTTCTTTAACAAAGTTGTATGTGTACCTAGTTCCTTTGGTTGACAACATAAAAGTAATTGAACATGAAGTAAATAATATGCATGTATAACTTTAATGAATACACTAACATTAATAAAGAATCTGTAGCTCTGTGTGATATTATTATTTCTTTTTCAGAACCAAAAAAATTAGTAATAGAGTGCGGGAGCAGCCATGGCTTTTGCAGGACTTAAGAAACAGATCAACAAAGCCAATCAGGTGAGTTCCGACGAACAAATACAACATCGTTCCGTGGATGTTGGTAAGATTTGATTTGCGGTTATGTCAACCACAGAAAACAATCGTCATAAGCTGCTTACTAGCGGTCTACCAGAAATATTTTAGCAATTTTATAGACATGTTTATCTACATGTTATTACTGTAAGTTTTCACTGCCGAAACACAATTATGAATATACATTAATCTCTGTTTTAAGAAACGATGATGAGAGATGCCATTATCGTTTTCTATTCCGTACTTCATCCGTGGAGTACTGCTAAACAATGACAATTCCTTGCGTTTTGAGATTGTTCCGACTACTACATTTTAATAAACTAAAAGCTTTTCTTTGATTTACCTTATTTGATACTTCCTTTTCGCAAACATCGGAGATTAAATTCTATTTTCTGGTTAAAGTGAATTTGTTTTTTGTGCTTTTCTTATCCTGTTTTGCTGTTATTTCTGAATTACTCTACCTATGTTATCAGTGTTTTTTTTATAATAAATGAAATAATTTTTAACTTTTTACGTTCACGATTAAAACTATGCCAGAATACTAGAAATGGTTAATCTGACCTATTTTATAACTTAGTTTACAAACGTAATTATCACGATAAACTATTACTATTGAGAATTACATAATTGCATCCAATAGTTGTAACTATAAAAATAGTGTCAGTAATATGCAGGTGTGGGTCGCCCTGTCGAGTTATATGCAAAAGCCTTCTATCGATAATTGGATCTAACTTCCTTTACACACAATATAATACATAGCAACGCCTTACGAGTATATTCCACGGGCATTCAATAATAGCGTAGCTTTTTCTGAACCAATTTACATATATAGCAATAAGCTGATTTCGTATATTTTTTTTTAATTAAAATTGAACAACACACTGGCATATTGGCCAATTATGGGACCAGTTCAGCAATTTATGGGATTAATAAAGATGGTTGTAGAGCGTCGGTGGCTCAGTGGTTTTAGCACTTGACTTGTAATCTACAGGTCTTGGGTTCGAATCCCGCCATGTACCAATGTGATTTTCGATTTTTCGAATTTTCATATGTACATAATTTACCCGACGTTCTTACGGTGAAGGTAAACATCGTGATGCAACCTGCACATATCGGCGAAGAAATTCAAAGATATGTGCGAAGTCGACCAACCCGCACTGGGCCAGCGTGGATGACTATGGCCTAATCACCCTAATTTAGGGTAGGCTCCAAACCCCTCGGTGGGGACATATAGTGAGCTGGTGATGACTAAAGATGGTTGTAGGTTCCGCTCTTCGGTAAAACATTTGTAGTGTAATTAAGCAATTTTAAATCTGTATTCAGAGTTAAATATTATCAAGACCATTTCATTTTTGTTTCTCATTAAAAATTAATGTTCGCTCTCTTACTGGCGTTAATGCACAAGCCTCGTGGAAATTGTTTTTAGTCCGCACGACCCCTTCTCGTTAAATATTCAAGTGTTCTCCCTGAACTCATAGTGTCTGAATCGAGCTTCATCAAATTTTCAATACATTTTTAATATTGCATTGTTTTGTAGTACGTCTGGATTACAGAACGTTCGTCCTGACACCAACTAACATTGTTCTATAACCATCTGAAATAAATAAAATTGGAATACCAATATAGGAACAACAGTTATAGTAGTCGTTTTGTAACGTCCTATATGTTTTCAGAGTAACCCTTAAAATTAAGGATACTCCTGTATTAAAACCTTTTGAGGTCAGACATTATTTTCTATTGTAAGAGCTAAAATTGAAAGACTACTATTAATATCGTCTCTTTGTTAGTCTATTTTCATTCAATATTTTGTATTGCCCGGCCTTAACAATGCTTATTTCTTTACAATCTGTTTTTATTTTCTTCATAAATAAATAATCATTGAACGAACGAAACTCTATTGCTATTGCAATCGATATCGTGAAGGTAATAAATAAGAGTTTTTTCAAATTTAAAAGTAATAAAATTATAGCCTAACAAAGTAGCTTTATAATAGTGAAAGAGTTTTAGAATTCGGCCCAGTAGTTTTTGAGTTATTTCATTACATAGTATGATGTGTGCAATTGCAATATAAATTGCATGTGCCCCTTTTCACATTTATTCTTGAACTCGTACATTTTGATACTTTATTTTTGTTATATAGAAGACTAGCTTTAGCCCACGAACCCATCCGCTTGAAATAAAAAAAGTAAATAGACTATGTGTTCTTCCAAACTATCCTTTACATCTCTGCCAAATTTCATCGAGATCCATTCATTAATTTAGACCATACCCATCCATCTAAACTTTCGCATTTATAATATTAGTAAGAAGTAAGATTTGACTTAGTAGCTAAGACGTGCCGTGAAAGTCGTTTCACTGAAATTGTCACAATAAGCATCGCTATTAAATCCTTCAAGAAATATGCGACTTTGACATTTTCATCTCAGACTCCGTCGTTGATTTCCTCTCTACTACTGCCGGCCGTCGCGCAATATCCGAGCTCTAACAACGTGATCAATAACACTGCGAATAATGATATTCTCGACTAAATCCCTCCCCCCTTATCTGTCATGGGGGTGAAATGAGAGGGCCGCGACCCTGACCCATTCCGCGTCCTATATAGCTGATGTGCCCCAATTATAACGCCCTTCAAACACCTCCGGATGGTCCTTCTACAATGAGCTTGTTAGGTTTCATAAGCAAAAAGGTTATTCCCAACCCAAGTATACTTATTTTAATAAATTGGAACTGTCTTATTAAGATTTGATATAAAATCTCTCGTTTATTTAATTAGAGTTCTTCGATTTATAGAACCTACTATAAAAAACGTAAAATAGCATACTTTTAATAAATCGTAATTCAACTGTTTATTAATAAAACAGGAGAGTGGTTTAATGTTGGCGTACTTGCTTATTTTATGTGTATTCAACACTTTATACGAGCGCTCGGCCAAGGCTAGGCCTCGACCCGAGCTTTTGTACACAAATGGCCGATCCGATACTTTACTTCCTTTGTATGAAATCGTGCCAAACTAAATGCGACGTGCACGTTTTTATTGTGAACAACCACTGTTGTGGAAAACAAATTGTTTAAGGGCAGTGTGTAAAGATATCGTTGTTGAATACACCACGTGAAATTATCAAAGTTGTTTATTGTAGTGTGTCAGCAGTAAAAATTTACAGTTACCTATACTTTTAACAAAAGTTTGTACTTTAAAACAACTTGATATTATTTATATCGCCTGGTATCTACCTAATATCTGTTTCGATATTTCAGTATGTCACAGAGAAAATGGGAGGCGCCGAAGGCACAAAACTCGACTTGGACTTCGTGGAAATGGAAAGAGTATGTAATTTTTTATTAAAACAATTTGTAAATCTAATTCAAACAAACTGCATTATTTATACTATCTATACTTCTATTCTATTATAATAAAGCGTAAACACACACTTCTTTGTTGCCTAAGATGTCAGCAATCACGGCATATTTTTGATTAATTCTTATTTTAATAAAAAGCCCTACACTTACGTCACGCTTTAGGCTATATATTTTAACGCCATTAAACTGAGGGGGTAAATATTTTTGATAATAAACCTTGATGTGAGAAAGAGACCATAAGTTTCTACCAACTTGTTGTCATGTCATGTCATGATGACATTTGCAATTGATAATTTGACAAATGTTAACAATAAAATAGAATTTTCGTTATTCCATGCGGATGAATCCGCGCGGGAACAGCTAGTTGGATTAGAAAGTGATTGCAGAGTCACGCATAATGCATAGCGTAGCTATGTTCTGAAACTAATGTAAATATAATTCAGTGATGCTCTTACTACTCGTGACTAATTGGTTACTAAAGAAGACTCTTAGTATACATGTAGTAGGAGAAGTCTACACTAAATTTGAAACAATTGAACATTGGCTTGATAACTACAATTTCGCATCGGTAGAACTTGCAGAAATTACTCTATAAAGCTTAAGCCCTATTTATCTTTCGTAAAGTACTGCATACAAATCGTTGCGTTTCTGTTCCGCGCTCTTAAGTTCTAAAAATACGGTACAGTCTATAAAATATAAAATTTTGTTACATAAAGTAAATAAAATGTAATATTTATGACGCTAGAAAGAAAATGTCTTGGCTTATATTTTCTGTAAAACTTACCGCTTTCACAAGGATCCTAAGTGTCCCAACGGCGCTGAGAATACTTTAATGTGACCTGTTTTACAAAGATGTACTCTAAAAGTGTTTCCACGGCTTTTATCCCTGATGAAAATGTAAGATTATTAATGCTTACAAAAATAAACTAAGCATTTACTCTCTATATTTATAAAATTTTTCTATTCTCAATATTAGTATCCCCAGTATTAGTTGGCCAGTAATAATTATAGATTAAAAGAGTATACTAAAAATCATAAGGGTACCAAATACTTGGAACAACAAAAGAAAACATCACATTGATAAAACTGAAAATACTTTGACTATATCGATGTTAGTTGAATTTCAAGAAATGTTTGCGGATTGTTTCCAAGAATCTGCTCATGTTTTTGTAAGTTACAAATAAATCACAAAAGCTTTCGCGTTCCCTTCTTAATAGAAAACAGACGTAACATGTGAGCTGGTAGAAGAACTACAGACGAAAACAAAAGAATTCCTCCAGCCGAACCCCACGGCAAGGGCGAAGATGGCTGCTGTGAAGGGGATCAGCAAATTGAGTGGACAAGCTAAGAGTAATACCTACCCGCAACCAGAAGGCGTGCTCGGAGACTGCATGCTGTTGTACGGGAAGAAACTAGGAGAGGACACTGTTTTCTGTACGTTTACTTAAGATTTCATATGTAAACATTAAAAGAATCACTCGAAATAAAATTTATTAAAATGTTATTGCAGCACAATGCATGATAGAGATGGGTGAGGCGCTTAAGCAAATGGCCGACGTGAAATATTCTCTTGACGATAATATTAAGCAGAGCTTCCTTGAGCCCCTTCATCATTTACAGACCAAAGACCTTAAAGAAGTTATGGTAAGTATCGTTTGTTAAAACATTTTTTATAAAATTATTAAAATCAGCATGGACTTGCTATAGATGACGTCAGAAGTTTCTACTCAGTTTATGTTTTCATAGTTTATAATTTTTATTGATATTTTATTTTAATGATGGTTCACTTCTTTATTGTAGCATCACCGGAAGAAACTGCAGGGACGTCGGCTCGACTTCGACTGCAAACGCCGCAGGCAGGCTAAAGGTGATTATTTCAAATCAATATATCCAATTCTTGTTTTATTATTACAAATATTTCATGTAATTAATAATATTTTTTTTTGCAAAGTGAAAAATGTTTATTTTGGATACAGCAAATGTTTTAAAAGTATATTTTTTATAACTTTAAAGAGTCTTTTATGTGAATTTGTCAAAAATGTATTTCATACAATTGTTCGTAATGTAACTTTCCCTTTTATTTCATTATATCAAGGATCAGGTAGGGTCAGCCCTTATATGAGTCCCGGTGGCGGAATGCCAAGGCAGGGTATGTTAGAGTGGCAGTAGATACAATGCTAGTCAAACAAACTAAATAAAATACCGAGTGATATTAATATTGTGCTCTATATGTAACGCCCGTTTCTTCCATATTCCTGACCTGCGTCCGCGCCGATTCCATTCTACGCATTTGCCTGGTTTTGTTTTCATCGTTTGGTCTGTATTTTTTTTTGTTTTTCTTTTTGTATCGCTACTTTCATTATTTTAACCTTTACGTTATTGTTTTGTTTTGTAATTTATTCATAAGCTATTTTGTATTTTT